ATTCTGAGAGACTTAGTTTCTGGGTAACTTAATCATTTTATTAATAAGGCCAGGATCTTTATTAATAAAAGGATGGTCATTTGGCTATCTCTCTTAGACCAAAGACCCGCTCATGGTGGGCAGCTCACAGCTTATACAGGTATTCCGAGGGTGGCAATCAATACTGATTGGTTAACACAATGGGAGGTGGACTATATTAAAATGAGGGTCTTGGAGTATGTGGCTTGGGTCACCCAAATTTTGGTTAAAGAGACATCAATCTCCATATCATCTGTCTGAAAAAAGGGAGAATCAATACTTCCCCAGACCTGTCTGAGCAAACAATGAGCAGGAATGTGCCCATTAGACCAAATTTAGAATTTCTTTTACTGTCTAATTAGATCTTGGCCTGGGTAAATCTCTAAGAGAGATTTCACACACTGGTTGGTTTCTGGGTGAAGTAGAAAAAGAGAAAAACCTTGGTCCTAATACAATAATTAGTTATTAAATACAAGAGAAATATTAATTTCTCACAATAGGAAAAGTTCTTCACCAAGAATTCCCTATGCCAGTGAAATCTCAGACCTAATCCCTATCTGTGTTTGTTTATTACAGGGTTGATTGGGGTTTTTTTTCCTATTTGGGGTAGATTTCAGTGGAATAAGAAGAAGAAGAGCTAACATTTATATAGCGCTTTAATGTTTGCAAAGCACTCATCTGAGCTTCACAACAACACTGAGGTAAGTGCTATTATTTCTCTTTTACAGATGAGGAAACTAAGGCTAAGAGTTTGAGTGACTTACCTAGGATTATTACACAGCTAGTAAGAGTTTGTTGTAGAATTCAAACTCATGTCTTCCTAACTCCAAGTCCAGCACTGTGCCACTGGGCTGTGGGGTAAACTAGTGATAGGGAAGTTAAAAAAAAAAAGAAAAAAAGAAGGTCACCGAAGCATTTTTTTTTTTAATGCAGAAAAGAGAACAGATGTAAGTTCAGGAGGAATAGTTGAGCAGGAAAGCTTTGAAACTAAAGGAGTTTTAGTTTAATTTAGTTAGGTTTTTTTTTTTTTAAAGCAAGCTGTACCTAATAGAGATTCATGTTTTGAATGGTTTTTTGCATGTCCAACTCTGTGACCCATTTTGGGCTTTTTTTTTTCCCTCTTTTTTCTTTTTAGGCAATGGGGGTTAAGTGACTTTGCCCAGGGTCAAGTGTTTGGTCTGAGACGAAATTTGAACTCAAGTCCTCCTGACTTCGGGGCCAGTGCTCTATCCATTTTGGGGTTTTTCTTAACAAAGATCCTGGAGTGGTTTGCTATTTCCTTCTCTAGCTCATTTGACAGGTAAGTATACTGAGGCAAGCAGGGTTAAGTGACTTGCCCAGGTCACATAGCTAGTAAGTGTCTGAGGCCAAAAAAGTGTCTGCCCCCCAAAAAATGCTAGGAGAAATCTCACTAAGGACAAGATACAGGGTTATTGAAGTAGGGGGGGTTAGTTAGAGAAAGATGGGAGGAAAATGGCATCTGTGTTCTGAGCTCTGGCATTCTCTCCAGGTCTGGATTGAAAAGATGGACTCTCAAAACCTGCCCAGAGTTTCAGGGGTCCTCTATTCTTTCACTAGCGCCTACCGTTTCCAAGAATTGTAGCAAATTTTTCTAGTAGCTCTCTGTGATTAATTATCCCCTTCAAAGTGTGTTGAAGGGATGCAATGGATATTTGAGAGCTGAGACTACAACTCCCTAGGAGACACATGGGGAGGTGGCAATTATTTGGGAATGAGTGCCAAGAATGTATAATTCCTGTTTCAATTCACTGTTTTAGCAAAATTATTCAGTTCCATTAACTGTCTTTATCTTAAATTCATGGTCATTTGATTTGATCTGATAAAAGAAACATCAGTGGGAGCTGTGGAGCTACTATGGACCTGAGAACTGAGCAGAGAGCTATATTCAGAGCACTCAGGTGCTACTTACACATTTCCCTAATGACAACATAAACACCTTTCCTGAGTGTTCTCATGCTGGGTTCTGTTTCTTCTTCCTCCACCTCTGGTTTACAGGTACATCCAGGGTGAACCCTCAGACACAAACCTTATTCCAGATTACACTGTTTCTTGAGCGATCTGTAGAATTCAAAGTATCTGCCCTTAATTTCAAGCCATCATTGGAAAGGATCATTAAATGTCCCCTGACCTATGAGTGGGGGATTATAGTTGGGAATAAGGTTTGGGGTGCAAATTTTTGTCAGAAATGCTAGACCTTTTGGCCTAGCAATTCCAGATCGTAAATTGTATTATAAAGCAGCAATCATCAAAACTGCTTGGTACTGGCTAGGAAATAGGGAGGTGGATCGTGGAATAGGTTAAATACGCAAAACACAGTAGTCAATGACTATAGTAATCTATTATTTGATAAACCCAAAGACCCCAGCTTCTGGGATAAGAACCCACTCTTTGGAAAAAACTGCTGGGAAAACTGGAAAAGAGTATGGCAGAAACTAGGGTTAGACCCAAATCTCACACCATATACCAAAATAAAGTCAAAATGGGTTCATGACTTAGATATAAAGGCTGATACCATAAGTAAACTGGGAGAACAAGGAATAATTTACCTATCAGATCTATGGAGAACAGAAGAATTCATGACCAAACAGAAGATAGAGAACGTTATGAAAAGCAAAATGGATAATTTTGATTACATTAAATTGAAAAGTTTTTGCACAAACAAAGCCAATGCAACTAAGATTAGAAGGAAGGTAGAAAATTGGGAAAGAATTTTTACAACCAGTCTCTCTGATAAAGGCCTCATTTCTAAAATATATAGAGAATTAAGACAAATTTATAAGAACACAAGCCATTCCCCAATTGATAAATGGTCAAAGGATATGAACAGACAGTTCTCAGATGAAGAAATTAAAGCCATCTATAGTCATATGAAAAAATACTCTAAATTGTTATTGATTAGAGAAATGCAAATCAAAACAACTCTGAGGTACCACATCACACCTATCAGATTGGCCAACATGACAAAACAGGAAAATGATAAATGTTGGAGAAGATGTGGGAAAATTGGAACACTAATACATTGTTGGTGGAGTTGTGAAATGATCCAACCATTTTGGAGAACAATTTGGAACTATGCCCAAAGGGCTACAAAAATGTGCATACCCTTTGATCCAGCAATAGCACTTCTAGGGCTATATCCCAAAGAGATCAAACAAATGGGAAAAGGACCCACATGTACAAAAAATTCATAGCAGCTCTTTTTGTGGTGGCAAAGAATTGGAAATTGAGAGGATGCCCATCAATTGGAGAATGGCTGAGCAAGTTGTGGTATATGAATGTAATGGAATACTATTGTGCTATAAGAAATGATGAACAGGCTGACTTCAGAAAAACCTGGAAAGACTTGTATGGTCTGATGCTGAGTGAAGTGAGCAGAACCAAGAGGACTTTGTACACAATAACAGCCACGTTATGCAATGACTAAGACTGTTAAAGTAAACCCTTCTCAGCATTACAAGGATCTAAGACATCTCCAGAGGCCTCGGGATGGAAAATGCTGTCCACATCCAAAGAAAGAACTATGGAAGTCGAATTGCTATCACTTATTTTTACCTTCTGTTGAGTTTTGTTTCATCTTTCTGATGGTTCCTCCTATTGGTTTTAATTCTTACTTACAACTTCACTAATGTGAAAATATGTTTAATGGGTATGTAAATGTAAAGCCTATATCAGATTGTGTGCCCTCTTGGGGAGGGTGGGGGGGAGGAAGGGGGAGAAAAATTTTCAACTCAAAAGCATATGGAAGTGATTGTTGATAAATCAAAATAAATTAATAAAATTAAAAAAAAAAGAAATACTAGACCTTTGTTTCTGAGCCTTAGGAGATCACTGTGCATTTGCAGAATCTCAGATAATTACGGGTGATTCAAATGGGACTCCCAGTGATCATTCTTGCTTGGGACATTGGAAAAGTTTTATGTGATAGCCCTATCCCTTTCCCTATTACCCTCAACTCCTCCAATCCCTCCTGCATATACACATTTAAATGTAACACAAAGAAGAAATTTCAGTTGGGTCTCTAAGTATACTCTATTTGAGCTGCCATATTCAGCTTAAAGTGATAGACTAACATGGGGGAATTTCCTCATGGCTGGAAATAGAGAGTCCTTTACAGCAAGTCATGGGAAAAAACCTATTCATAAAACCTTGGATTTCCAGAGTGAGGGAATGTCTCTTTCCAGGGAACGAGAAGGAACCAGGGCAGAGGCACAAATATTCTTCAAGCCTTAACTAAACTCAGGTCACAGACTGACCCCTAATTTGGTTCACAGAGTGAACCTTAACACATAACCACAGACCAACCCCCTGGGTAATTTGAGTATGATTTATACCCATTTTGCAGATGAGGAATCTGAGGCTCAGAGGGGTGACTAGTTCAGGGTCATACAGCTAATGTCAAAGCCAGAAGTCAAATTCAAGTCTTCCAACTCTTAAGACTAATACTCCTCAGCAATGCACAGTGAGATATACACAGCTATATAAATACAAATGTAGATGGGTGCACACACTCACAGAGTGATGCACACACAGAGATAGATTTAATCTGACACAGAGACACAGCTGGACCATCTCTCTCTCTCTCTCTCTCTCTCTCAATACATATACAGACACACACACACATACACACACACACACACACACACACACACACGCAATTTCTGTTGAGGACAAAACAGAAATTGTATGAAACTAAACAATTTATTAGGGCAGCTAGATGGTATAGTGGATAGAGTGCTGGGCTTGGAGTTAAGAAGACTCATCTTCCTGAGTTCAAATCTGACCTCAGGCCTAACTATGTAACCCAGGGCAAATCACTTAACCCTGTTTGCTTCAGTTTCTTCATCTATAAAATGAGCTGGAGAAGGAAATGGCAAACCACTCTAGTATCTTTGTCAAGAAAACCCTAAAATGGTTTACAAAGAGTTGGACATGACTGAAAACAACTGAATAGCAACAAACGATTTATCAAATTCAACAAGCTTTATTTCCTCTGTTTAGTAAGACACTTCCTGGGACCTTGGGTCAGGGGTGCAGGGCCAGAGCAGTTCTGGAGTACATGCTGTGTTTGCACATGTTCCTGACCTTGCCCAGGCCATCCTCCTTCTCTCCAAGCCATCTGGTGGTTATGTTCGACAACCAAGAGCCATGGATTCACAGAATTCTCCCCTATCTTCAGCCCCATCCAGGGGGGTACACAGATGTTGTCCAACCACCCAGGTGGTGCCTGCAATCACTCCCCATCCATGGCAAGTCATACCTTATCCAGAACATTTGGAGAAACTTTGTCAGGCCCCTCTTAATCCCATGGAGAAAATAAGGCCCAGAGAGTTGTAAGTGACTTCTTCAAATTCACCCAGCAAGACAGAGAGAAGCTTGCCTGACAGGCTTCCTGCTTTGTGCTCCCCGCGTCACCCTGGTCTGTTTTGATGTCCCTTGTCCACTCCAGTTTCACTGTCCCATGAAGAAAGCTAGCTGGGGCTTTCAAGGTAACAGCACTGGGAAAAACAACAATTCACAGGGTTGTAAACTATCTTGCTTTTTGGAAAGTACAGGGGGGAGGAAGAAGCTGCCATATGGAAACAAGCATTAGACACCCATCCACGTACTTAGGCCTCTGGGTGGTCAGGCTGCTGGGGTTTTGCTTATGAAAGTATCTCCTCCCAGAGACACACAGGCGGAATGAGATGAGACCCAGACTAAGGAATGAGATACCTAGATAGAGAATAGAGAATGTTAGGACACAGCATCTTATAAAGGTAAGAGGGAAGACACGTACACAAGAGTGAACGCCCATGTGTGTGAAAATCCCAGGGAGAGATAAGCATGTTGATACCCATAAAAAAGGTTTCTAAGTTGACTGGGTATATCCTCTGTAGCAATGAGGTGATTCCTGGCTCTGGAAAGCTCATCTCCAGATTCTACTGATACTTCCTCCCAGGGAAGCACCCAAGTCAAGGGAGGGAGGGGAAGAGGAATTTAGCTTTTTGGACAGATCTCCTCCTCCTTGCAGCCCTCTTGGCTTCCTCATAGACAGACCTGAGGGGTCAGGTTGGGACCTGCAGCCTCAGGCCTTTGATCATTGGAGGATGGGCTTGCCAAGGAGTCAGAAGAGATAAGAATTATCTATGACCTTGAGATGGTGCCTATGGCTCAATGGCTCTTCCTCCATTGCTCAGGAACCCTTTGTCCTAACGTCCTACCAGCCTGTCCATCATTCATCTGCTTAAGTGATGAAGATACAAATACAAAAAGTAAAGACAGTCCCTGGCCTCAGTGATCTTACATTCTAATTCTATACCCAAAGAGGGGTGGTGGCCAGGAAAGGTCACTTTGGCGGGATGGTTAGAGGGATCATGAGCTGGGTCTAGAGGAGTCAATTGAGAAAGAACACTGCCAGAGTTAATGTGATCATGGTTCAAGGTTCCAGAAGGGAGGGGAGGGGAGAGAGAGGAGAAAGAAAGGGTACCCATGAAGAGGGATAAGAGGAGCTGTCCAGAGAGTAGGGGGTAAAAATCGAGGCGTAGCTGAGGCTTTTCTTGACACAGTGGTCCAGAAGAAGAAGTCACCAATCAGGGAAGCAGGGGCCCAGAGAGGACACTTCTCCAGGTTAGAAGGTAGCTGGTGAGGCTGCGGAAGGAATTGGCTAGAGACTCTTGAGTTTCAGCTCCTGCCCTTGACTGACTTTCAGCTCTGGTTTTCCCCAAAAGGAGTGTTGGCCCTTGGTTACCATACTAGTTTTGGGGTTCCAGGGTGCTCAGGATGGAACCCACAGGCGAAAGCAGAATTCTGGCATCTGATCACCTCCATCCATCCTGTGAACACTTCTGGCTATTTATATTACAAACAAGTCTTTAAGTCTTTTGCTTCAAAAGAGCCCAGAAAATGTTCCCATTTGAGTTATTTCTGTAATAACTCTCTCTCTGTATTATCTGCTGAACTCTTTTTGTCACCAAGTCTTCTAAGAAAGCAGCTGGTGGCTCCAGCACAAACAAGTCCATGGAGGCTGAGGCAGGGAACCATCCCCTTCTGGATCTGGCTCAGTCATGTAGGAAGCCCTGTCTGTCCCTACAGGAGGGTCAGGTGGGAGGAGGCACCGAGGTTCACACCCCAAAAGCTAACTGGCAGTTTGGGAGTCCAGGATCTCAGCCATCTCCTCCAGTTCTTCCAGCAGCTCAGTGAAGGATGGCCGCTTCAAAGCCTCCAACTGAGAGATGGGAAAGAGAAAAAGAATGGGATCCCATAAAACCCCAGCTACCTGCAAGTCTCCTATGTCCTGAGGGCCTACCCTGGAAGTCTCTAGCAATGGGCTGGGTGTTAGAAAAAGCTACCCTATTAAGGGTTAATCATTTCCCCTAATTACTGGGTGGGGATCAGAGACCCCTAAGGAGACAAGAACTTCCCCAAGGCCACATATCTCACAGGTAGACCTTAGACTAGAACCGCCAGATTTCAGAGTTTCCTGAGCTTTGGGAACTTTCTCCTAGGGCTGACATGAACAAGAAAAAAACAAACAAAAACATCTAGCACTTATATAGACTTTAAGGTTTGCAAAGTGCTTTCCAAAAGTTATTTCATTTGCTCTTCCCAATAACCCTGTGAGGTAGGTGCTGTGATTATCCCCATTTTATAGAAAAGAAAGTGAAGATGAAAGAAACTAAGTGACTTGCTCAGGGTCACACAGCTCAGGTCTTCCTGACTCCCCACCCACTGCACCACCCAGGTAAAGCTATCGTGGCAGGCTGGTTGACACTCATTTCCTAGATGGCCTAGGCTGAAGCCTAATAGGATATGGTGAGGGTGGGAGGGCAGTGGACATACCCGGCAGCAGCTGGCAGCCAGGTCTAGGATACGTGAGGGGCACTCACTGACCATCCCTTGGAATGCAGCCACATCTAGTCCATAGTCCTGGGTGGGGAGAAAGGTCAGTAGGGAGACTGTGCCCAGCAAGGAAAAAGCTCCTACAGAAATCTGCTCCATCCTATCCCCAAACATACCCACAGAGGAATAAGGAGAGAACCTACAATTGAACCTTCCCTCTCCCCGCACCTTGAGTGGCAATGACCTGGCATCAGCATTTGGCCACCACCTTACCTGGCTCCCAGCAAGCTCAGTTCCCCCAAGCTCTCTTAGCCTGGGGCACTATAGGGGTTAGTTGGGGATTTCCGCCTGGAGTATTTCTTTACAATCATTTCATTAGCTAACACCTGGAGTGACCAAGACATCCTTCCAGAACCCAGCCCAAAAAGAGATTTCTGGAGGGAATGGGGGGAAAACTCCGGAAGCAACTGCCCTTGGATCCCCCAGTCCTTCCCCTAAGCACAAAACTGTCCCCTCACTTTCTCACCAGGGCCTGAAGAAAATTCAATTCAACTGACATTTATTGAGTACTTCCTGCTGGCCCTAGGGAATGCACAAATAAATATGGGATGGTCTTTGCCCTCAAAAAGCTGTGGGGTTCCTATCCAGAGTGGTGGAAACTCAGGCCATTAAACAGCCATCACCTCTAATTCCAACACTTGTACCCCCAGCCCTTCCCATTGGTACCCGCCCCCCCCAACTCTCTTCCCGTTCTTAGCGACTTAAGGGGCTACTCAGTTTCTGGGGAATTTTCTTCCTTGTTCTGGGTAATAGAAAGGACTTGTTTCTGGTCTGGGCCTGGGGGAGTCCTTTGGCTGTTCAGTCACTGGAAGGCTCTTATATACCTTGGCGTTACACCTGAGAGCCTGGGGGAAATCCAAGAGAGTTCCCTGAGTTTATGTAGGTGACTTCCATGTAGTTTTAATACCCTGCACTCCAACTATTCCCTTTACAATAATAACCCACATAATGATGTTTGTGTGACTCACCTGTGTCCGGGGAAGAACCTCAGGGTCAGCAGGAATCCGCCCCAGGATCTCACAAAGGACAATGCCAAATGAGAACACATCTACCTGTCAAGTCCAAAAACAGGGAGGAGGAGGTGAGGCAGCAGGGGAGACTGGGAGCTGCCCTCCTGAAAGCTCACTGAGAGGCCTTCAGTGACAGGAGGCAGATTCTCCTAGAGCCTTAACCTCACTCAGATGGAATTCTACCCTTAGTCCCCTCAGCATTTTGGAAACAGTTCAATTGATACCAACACCACCTTCTATTTCTCCTCATGAGCTAATTTGAAATTTTCCTCTTTCTCCTAGTGTGGGTGCTTGGGACTGGTGTAGGTGGAACAGCCTCCACTTCCCCCCCACATTTTTGGGAAAAGGAGAAAATGGGTGTGTCTGTCCAAACAGGGATAGACCTGCGGCCAAGATCTCATCCCAGAGGCTCCCACACCCTGTGGCTGGGCCAGCAGAACTTTGGCTGCTGCATTGCATAATAGCTGGTCTCAGAAATCGTATTTGCCCTTAATATGTATTTAAGCATATGGTGTTGCTTCTTAGAAATGCGGTAACTGCAAAGGCTCTCTTTCCTCATCCTGAAGAACATAAATGCATCAATAGTGCCCACTACAGAATATATGCAGGCATACACACATTTATACTTAGTTATATTAATAATGATAATAACTAACATTTCTATAGCTCTTATCATGTGCCAGGCACTGTGCTAAGTGCTTTACAATTATTATCTCATTTGTTCCTCACAACAACCCTTCGAAGTGTGTACTATTATTATCCCCATTTTACAGCAAGGAAACTGAGGCAAAGAGAATGAAGTGACTTGCCCAGGGTCACACAGCTAGTAAGTGTCTGAGGCTGAATTTGAATTCAGTTCTTCCTGACTCAAGGCCCCACCTTCAATCCACTCTAGTGGCAGTTACATATCAGGCCTTAACCCTTTGTTAGGATGTTTGTATATTAAGAGTTTATTTCTCCCCACCCCTTTAGAATCAGAGCTAGCATTTCAAGATTAATCCCAAAATAGGGGGAGGGAGAGGGAGTTAAATATATATAAGCATTTCCATAGGGCCTTTGATTCCTCACTAAAGTGAATAATTAAAGGCCATTTCCAGTATCCTGCAAATGTTAACTATCCCTTCCTTTCTGGCTTCCATCCCTAAAGCCAGCCAAAGTCTTTTCCCAATAATAACTATAGGTAAGTGACCAACTGGGCCCAGAAGGCCTCATAACACTTGGCATCATGGATGAGACCTTCCATATCCCAGACTCTTCTCTCCCTCAACCAATTCCTGGGCTTAAGAGTTCCAAAGAGTACCTCTGAAAGTGAAGATAAGCAGATAATACCTTATTCCCCATCAGTCACCACCCTGGAATCTCTCCAAAAGAAGGAACCCCTAACACCCTAGAGAGGGACTTTTTCTATACAAAAAAGAGAATGCTGGGAAGCCATATCTAGTGCTGCTACAACAGAGTCCCAGTCGAATTTGGAGGCCAGCCGCAGCACCCCACCCCCGGCTCTGGCTGACTGTTCAGAATATCTTTTAGTAAATCGCTTTTGGATGTGTAAGTCTTGTGTGTGTGTTTCCTTTTCCCCACCCCTGTGCAAATGCAGGACTTTACCATATAATCAAATGCACTGACCGGCCGCCAAATGAAGGAACTGAAATGGCTGAGAGAAACTGATCTTAGTCTCATCCTTGTTTATAAATTCCTCAAGCTTAGAGAGCTCTCAGTCCACTTGCAGTGAGTGGCCCTAATATATATACCCCTTCCATAAGTGAAGTGTTGGCTCAAGACCTGGCTTCTGGAGGACTAGAATGTGAGGCCATACCTTCCGGTCATATGGCTCCCCTCGGAGCATCTCAGGGGCCATCCAGAAGGCAGAGCCCACCAGGGACAGCTTCCTCTCAGGGTCTGAGGCAGGCACCTCCACCACTTCCCGGGCCAGGCCAAAATCCGTAACCAGGGCCTCCCGACCCCGAGATGTGACACGGATCAGGCAGTTCTGGAAGGAGAACCTGAGGTTGGAAGACCTGATAGATCTTCCATGGATCATGGCCTGGGCCCCCCCACACCCTCCTTGACTCATCTGGCCCAGACATTCTGGGTAACTGTGCCCCTCCCTCAACTCCCATATACTCAAGAGTCCTTTCCTCATGGGACATAGCTGTAAAGCGAGGCAAGGCTTCATCACTTCTTCCTTCTCATTCCCTCTCCCTCCCCCAACCTTTGGATCCTGGAACCACCCAGGCATTATGTGATCTTAGAAGACAAAAGGTAAGGAGGCCTCAGTTCCCTCTATGCCCCAGTATTTCCCTCTGAATGATGGGAGAATAACGTCACCCAGACATAAGATAGGGCCAACTTAATGTTGATGGTTCGAATGGGGCTTAGGTTAGACTTAGGACTCAGCCTTTCCTTTCTGGAATAAGGGTAAAAGAGGAAAAAGCAATAACCAGGGCTAGAGTTGGGGGCGCATAGCAGGGTAAAGGCTTCCAACAAACACAGGAAAGAGGAGAGAGACTGGAGTTTGGGTGCTGGGGAGGAGCAGAGCTGTAGATGGAGCAGCTGCTGATTCCCAGCTGGGAGCCAGCACGTGGGTTTGTCCTGGGTCTCCACCTGCCCCTTACCTTGGAGTTTAGGTCCCGATGATAAATATTCTTGGAGTGTAGATACACCATGCCCCTGGTAATGTCACAGGCCAGAGCCACCTTCTCCTTCCAGCTCAAAGGTACCTCAGCTCTGGCCAGTAGTTCTTCCAAGCAGCCACCATTTACATACTACAGGGGAGAAAAAAAGGGGAGGGGCACTCACCCCAGTATGAGTTGGTGTGACCCCTGGGGATACTGGGCCAAACCTGGCTAACCTCCCTATGACCCCTTGCCACATAAAGGCCCAGGGAACAGTCCTAATCTCACCACAGGTAGCACAGGGAAGGGAAGGGAAGGGAAGGGAAGGGAAGGGAAGGGAAGGGAAGGGAGGGAAGGGAAGGGGAAGGGAAGGGAACTTAAGATATCCACTGCCATGCTGTGGGACCTCAGGCTAATCACTTCCTTTTCTGGGTCTCAGTTTCTCCTATTTGTAAAACTAGGATGTTTGGCTCAATGGTCTTGGTTTCTAAGCTCCCTTAAGTTCTGACATTCTGAAACATCCATGTCTAGCTTTCTGGGAACCCCCAAGGTCAGGGAAAGCAACTAAGTGGTTAATGCCTGATCTGGAAGCCCAGAAGCCTGGGTTTCCTTTACACATTAGCTTCTATCTGCTGTGTGGCAATGGCCAAATCACCTGCCCATCTCTGAGCTGTCTTCTGCCCCATGGAATGGGACAACAGGGAGCGTCAGACAAGGGGTCTGGGGCTTTCCTCCCATGGGGGCTGTTATCACCAGAGAGAGAGAGTCTCACTAGTCAGGCCAGGGTTGGAGGAGTCCTGTGGAAGCCAGGGGGTGGATGATAAGAACCTTCCCCACTCTCACACTCAGCTCAGCTCAGCTCTAGCCTGGGCTCTCACCTCCAGGATCGGATACAGCTTCTCATCCCTCACACAGATGCCAAGGTACCTGCAGATGACACGGCCACTGACTTAGAGTCTTCTCCTATCCTCCCCCCAGGTCCCCTAAGCCCAAGCTCTGATCCCACAAGAATACTGACCAGATAACCACACTGCAGACTACGAATGCCAGCAACATGGCGCTGCTAACATACGCCAATGGGTGTGAGTGTGGCAGCACGTAATGAGATGCTGCCATGTAACATAACACTGCATGTAACCTGCTGGCATGTAACGTACTGCTGCATTATGATTGAAAGTGTGCCTGACCGTGACAGGTAGGTACATGCAACACGAGGCTCCACTGGACGTGAGGCTGCGTGTAACATGAGGCTCCCAGGGAAGCGTGGCAGAGTTTAACACGAGGCAGCTTATAGCGGGTGTCTGAGTCTATCTGGACAAGGTGGAGAAACCCTAGAGCTGCTGGTTCTGTTACCAAGAGCAGTTAGGGAGAGGGGAGAGCCTCTCTACAGATGGAAATGAAGATGAGCAAAACAGACACTCCTGGGATCTGGTACTTCTGTATATGGGACAGACAGACAAGCAGAAGTACCAGGCCAGTCGATGTCTGCCCAGATGGACCCAGACCAATGCGGGCTCGATAGCACGGCCATTCGGTTGCCAAGAACCCAGAACCCAATGAGAAAGGCAGCACCCCAGAAATGGCACAGAGACAAAATGTGGGACCTGGCTTCCCCAGCTTCTTTCTGTAACTCAGCCAAGGGAGAACATTGGCTTGGGAAGCAGAGACTGTCAGACAAAGCTGGGGCGTGTGTGTCTGTGTGTGCATGCTCTATCCCCATGCTAACGCTCTCTGGCCACACGGCTCTGTCCTTAGCTCCCATGTCCCCAGGCCCAGAGCCCACCTGACAATGTTGGGGTGGGACAGCTTCTGCAGCAAGCTGATCTCCCTCAGGATGACCAGTTGGTCCACATCATTCTTATAGATCTTCACCACCATCACCTTGCAGGTTGCACTTTGGGTCACCTGGGGGAAGCACCAAGTTAGGTCCTTGGGCAATATGGCAGTGGCCTCCTCACCCAGACCAGCGTTTCCCACATATCCATCCCTCTTCTCATTCATACACTCAACAAACATTCATTAAATGCTTACCTTGTCCAAAGCCCTGTCTCTAGCACTGGGAAAAATAGAAAATCACTTAGGGAAGACACTGTTCCTACAGTCTCAGAGAGGGATTAGAGCCAGGGGTATGATGGAACCATACTGACTCTTCAGAGCCAACTTAAATTTTCACTGTGAGCATTTACACTTCAGAAATTCAAAAGTGCTACATACCAAGGCTTGACTCATTATTTTGCTGATTGCCTGGACTTAAGAAAGCAATGGACAAAATGTTAATAATGCAGTTTAAATTTGAAGATGTGTCCTGCCTTTTCAGAAAACACTGACCAGCACCCTGCTGGATAAGACCCACAAACAGATAAGTAAAATACAGAACATACATGATAAGTGCACTAAGTAGGTCTAAACAAAGCATGTTAAGTCCCAGGGCCTATGTAGGCAGTCATAGAGGGTCATCTGTGGAACTCTATTCAGAAGAAGGAGCTGAGGAGGTTCAAGTAGGCACAGCACACCCACTTTCAAATAAGTGGATCAGTCTGTGGTACTGGCCTCACCAGCCCAACTGTACCTCACCAGGTACAGAGACAGTCAGTCCCTCAACACCTTGGAAATCAAGGAGGACAGATTCTCAGTAGCTCTACATGCCAGGCAGAAGTTCTCATAGCATTCCCTTCTCTGGGCACTGACCTTAGGGTCCCTGACACACCTGACCTTCCTTTCACCCATCTCCTAACAGAACTTTGAGCCCCAAGGAGCCAGAGGCAGGGCACCAGGGCCAAGTGACCCCTGCCTGGGCATTCATTTATTCATGAATGGAGAGGAAGTTTGATATAACAGACTAGGAGTCAGGAAAGACCTGGCCAGGGTCAAATCCTTCCTCCTACACTCTGGATGTGTTATCATGGGAAAGTCACTTAATCAATCGATAATCAATTAACAAACATTTGTGAAATTTTTACCATGTACAAAGCCCCTGCCGGGCACTGGAAATACAAAGGCAAAAATAAAGCAGGGTCTACCCTAAAGGCTCTTCCATTCTTGGGGGTGGGGGGGTGAGAAGACACCACAGGTACGGTACGGTACTTTGATGGAGGCTACTTTGGGCAGCCCTTCGGACAGTAGGCCCATTCTCATCCTGTGTGACTCTTGCCTGCATCCTCCACAGGGGAGCCGTTTAACCTTGTGCTGGAGCCCTTGAAGCTGTGTGTCTAAGCAGTGGGCACAAAGGTAGGCTTCTGACTCATAATTTACTCTCACTCCTGGTAGTGGGCCCATCTCCCTCTCCAGTCACGCCTCCTGCCCATGGCACCCCTTGTGCCACTTCTCTTGAACAATTCTTCATTGATAACCTGCCACATTGTTGTTCAGTCATTCTATCATGGCCAACACTTCATGACCTCATGGACCATACTGTCTATGGGGTTTTCTTGGCACGGAGTGGTTTGCCATTTCCTTCTCCAGTGGATAAAGGTAAACAGAGAAGTAAGTGCTAGATTTGAACTCAGGTCTTCCTGATTCCAGGCCCAGTGCTCCATCCACTGAGCCACCTAGCTGCCTAAAATACTAGACAAATGCTAGCTGTTATTGCTCAGGCTCATAGGGCACCTCTCTGTTGCCCTTCAGGTGACTCACAATTTTTCATGCTTCAGAAATGAAGAACTGTCACCATATGCCATCATCACTAGGAGAGATATGTATATATATATATATATATATATATATATATATATATGTGTGTGTGTGTATATAATGTATATATATACACACACACACACACATATATATAGATATACATAGATAGATAGATATACACATATATATATTTTTTAACCAAACCTATGATTTTATCAGTCCAGGGAGCTAGCCTAGTGAGGAAGAACTCCTCCACAAGCAGATTAGCACCTGCACAACAACTTAACAGCCTTAGAGAGCTGCTGGAGATACTGAGGAATTCAGTAACTTGCTCTGGGTTACACAGAATGGGTCAGAAGTAGGACCTGAACCCATGATCTCCTGATTCCAAGGCCAGATCTATGCCAGCCACTATGCTGTAGATGATGCCATAGGGCACAGAGCGTGGGTCTGGAGTCAGGAAGATCTGAGATCAAATTTGACCTCAGGCACTCACCAGCTGTGTGACCATGGGCAAGTCACTTAACTTCTGTCTGCCTCAGTTTCCTCAACAGTTACATGGGGATAATAAGAGCACCTACTTCCCAGGGTTTTATGAGGATCAGATGTGATAAAATTTATCTGTGTGACCCTGGGTAAGTCACTTAACCCCATTGCCTCACCAAAACAAAACAAAAAACAAATGTGATAAAGTTTGTAAAGCACTATATGAGTGCTTATTCCTTTCCCTTCCCCTCCCTGGCCTCTCATAACTGAAGGAATATTGTTTTGGGGAGAAGCTGAGGGTCATCCCAAGCATTGCCCCGTTTCCCAATAGCAATCTAGCCTCCCCTCCTCCATCTTTCTTCCTCCTGTTCAATTCTGGGCCCAGATGATTCAGTGTCCAAGTCAAGATATACATACTGGGAGCCCAGCTCAATGGGCTTGTCCATCATATTCCATATCATCATCTGAACCATCAGGAATCTTCATCCACCTGGTTTGCTAATCAGGCCCAATTCTTTTGGGTGATTACAGATCTCAATTAGGAGGCAATGTTTCAGGGCTCAATGCCCTCAGCATGATGTCATCTGTAAACAGAAGCATCTGGAGGCCTTGCCATCTGCAGGGGATCCCTCGTTGGGCTGGACATCTCCCGTGTGGGTGGCAGACAACTCTGGTGAGCAGATGTCTTTCCATTTTATGCCTCATTTCACATTAATACCCAGAGGCTCATCAAACAGAGTTTGAGAGGCAGTGTAAAGTGGTGTAAAGAACCCTACCTTCAGACTCAGAGAACCCAGGGGAGAGTCCTGGTTCTTGCATTTATTGGACTAGTCACTTAATCTCCCTGGGCCTTGGTTGCTTTCTCTGGAAATGGAAGGAGTTGGACTAGAGGACCTTTTAAAATTCCTTCCAAGGGGCAACTAGGTGGTGCAGTGGATAGAGTACCAGCCCTGAAGTCAGGAGGACCCGAGTTCAAATCTGGACTCAGACCCAACACGTGACACTTATTAGCTGTGTGACTCTGGGCAAGTCACTTAACCCCAATTGTCTTAAAAAAAAAGTTCCTTCCAGTTCTAAAGAAGTATTTGTTTTGTTTGACTATATGTGTTTGTAATTGTGGGTTTTGTTTTGTTTTGTTTTGTTTTGCTTTCTCAATTGGAGACAAGAATGTGGGGAAGAATATGGAAAGTAAAATGAAATAAAATAAAATTTGAATTTTTTCATAATTTAAAAAAGAATCCCTCAACACTTCATAACTGTGTCATCTCCAGTATGAACATTGTGCATACTTAGTCTAGCCAAGTCCAGTCTTATTCTAGTCTGCACATACTAAGTCCTTTTGTTGTTCAGTTGGTTCAGTTGTGTGTGACTCTTCCTGACCCCATTTGGGGTTTTCTTGGCAACGGTACTGGAGTGGTTTGCCATTTCCTTCTCTAGCTCATTTTACAGATGAGGAAACTGAGACAAACAGGGTTAAGTGACTTGCCCAGGGTCACACAGCTAGTAAGCGTCTGAGGCTAGATTTGAACTCATGAAGAGAGTCTTCCTGACTCCAGGCTCGACACTCTATCCCCTTTGACACCTACCAGCCTGTCTTTGTTTGCTAGTACCATTTTTATACCCTTATGCGGCACACTGTACACTGTGATGCTTGAGGCTACACCTGGTATCTCTACTGCTGTCAAGAAGAGAGAAAAGAGTTTATTATGAAAATCTTTACAGATCTTTTTCATTGTCTCCCTTATATGAGATGATTTTTCTTAGTTGGGATCTTGCCAAGCTTTCTTGGCAATATTTTTCCATTCACTGCTTCTCACAACGAATTGTGAGGTGATACTGTTTATAATATCCCATCATACTTCTCCACAAGATTCCACAAATGAGCTATATACTGTGTGCCTTTGCCTGTTGTATCTCTCTACTTGCCAAGACTGTAGATTTGCTGGCTGAAGTGGTTTCTAGAATCTTTTGATCTCCTCATTATGGCAACTGATTTACATTGGTTTAAACTTCCTTAGAAAATGGTGATGCACGTATAATGGATATCATATTGCTTACTTCTCAAGGGGTGAGTGGGATGGAGAGAATTTGGAACTCAAAATTTTGAAAAATGAATGTTAAAAAAATTTGAGCTGTAATTGGGAAATATTTAATGAAATAAATAAAAATATATGGAAAAAGAAAATGGCAATAGCCTGTATTTATGTCTGTTCTTTTGTCTATTTCCCATTTTTTTGGCATCAGCAGATTGTTTTAGTAAGTCTAGCTAGAATTGTCTCATTTAAGTACTCTATGTTCTCATTTTATTAATTCATCTAATTTGGTATTGATTTTGACTTCTACTTAAGCAAGCTGGTATTCTGACTCTATATAGATGGTTGCTTCAGAAATGACTCCTATACCAGTAACCACTCACTTCCTTTCTGTTTAAACATAATCCATTTCATTTTTATCATGCTATCAAGTGCTTCCTTTACCCAGAACCTTTCTCTTCTTTTCTTGAAGTATTCATGATATATAGACATGAGGTTTCAGTATATTCTATAAGCTTTTGCCTTTATTTCTTATTTGTGACCCATATTTTCCAACATATTTTTGTCATCCTTTTGCCCATCTCTGAAATGAAGTCCCTAAGGATTAAACTATATGTGTCATTTAATTTTGGAGGACCTTAACAAGTTCTGCACAGAGTTTCTCTATAGCCTCAGATGTTGG